CCTCCAGATCACCTGTTTATTCCACATCCATCCTCATTTGCTTACGCAATGGTTAGACTATGTCTCTCTTTGTTCCGATTTGTTTACGGAGCATTAATACATCAATGACCATTCATATTATCTTCATCCTGATTTGCTCATGGGGTGTTTCAGTGTCTTCCCATTCATTGGTTCCTCTCACACTTTTCAATGCATTTCCTGGTTACTTTTGTAACCACAAAACAGTGGTTGCTGTTTTTGAAGCGGGCCTGTTGTGCTAAGGCAACAAACCTGAAGTTCCATCTTGTGCTGGAGTCCCTCCCACAAAAGGCTAATACTCTGGAGGCATCCCAGCTGAAGAAGCAGCCAGGAAGATCCCTTTTTCAGATGGCCAGGCCTATTCCTGGGACACCAACCTCTAGACTAGCCTGCCAGCAACTTTCCCTGTTCTGCAGGCTGAAGCTATGCACTGGCTTGTAGCTTTTATGCAATGGTACTTTAAAAGAAAATCTTTTTAAAAAGGAAGGCAATATCTAAATTAACTGATAACAAAGAAATAATGTCAGTGGTGCCAATCGGCAAACAAAATTCAAAAGTAGCAATGGTTACAATGTGTTTTCTTTTTAGTTGCTTTGGTTCAGGGTAAATGTGAAATGATTTTGGTAGAAAAAACTTACATCGCTATTTGGAAGGTTTCAATGTACTGGTGGAAATGCTTGAATTTCCTTGAATCTTGGAATTTTGCATCATCCTCATCACAAATCCCCTATTCCTCCACTAGGGACATACTGATCTGTCAGTTTTGATTTCCTTCAGTTTCTGGTCCACCCCCCTCCTCCACATTTCCATCTCACTTTGTGATTCATTAATTATTATTTTAAAAAAATAAAATAAAAGGAATGCACACACAAAAATTCACCACTGAGACACACATTTTGGCAAATAATCTCCCTTAGTTTTTGTATTATTTTCATTAATGTATACAATTTTAATGCACACCTTTCCTAATTATTATTACTTTACCTTGTTGTTGCTGCTGCTTCTGCTGCTGCTGTTATTGTTGTGGCTGTGGTTGTCACTGAACTGCATCACAAAATTCAAAGAAGGGCAAATTTCAAAAAGAATACCCATGTTTCAGCTTGTGCATTGTTTAAGGAAATGCAGACAAGATATGTTCACATTCAAATGTGGATCAAAATGAATATCTCTCTCCCCTGCCCCATGTCTACTCTCCATTGCTATCTGACTTTCCCATGACAAACCTTGGGCCACAATCCACTCCATGCTGTTGTGGACAGATCGTGCTCTAAGTAATTTTAGCAAAAAATAAAAGTTAACTTGGGGGATCTGAAAAACTGGAAAGGTGAACCCAGTGCTTTTTTTAAAAAAAATGTTTAGGGGTACTCTCATTTTCCTACTCATATTGAAATACTTCCCCTCAATGAGGCCAAACTTAGATTCACAAAATGTTTAGGGGCATGCGTACCCGTGCGTCCCCCCAGTAAAAAGCACTGGGTACAAGGCCACAAACCCAGCCCTTTTCCAGTTTCATTTCTCCCTGCTCTGAACTGACATGGCTATCTGCAAATTGACAATCTGGTCGTTCCTCCATAGATTTGAAAGGACCGTGTGTGCTAGACAAATAGAGAATAGCTCCAACGTAATCTTATCAGGACTCCCCTCCCTACACCCCACCCAAACTGAAATCTAATACAATAACTTCCTTTCTGAGCCTTATATCAAAACACTCGAGGGAATGTTTACAGCTATCACTGCTGGCAGCGTTTTGCTGCCTGAGAGAATACCGGGGCTGTGTTTCGCTCTCACAACAAGGAAGGGGCATCACACCGAAAAGGACCGAGCAAGGACTCCTGCAAACCCAGGGAGATCTCATTTGCTGGAGGCAGGGGCCTGAATGAAGCAGCTGCACGTTTTAGCTACTTCTGACAGATGAGCTTAACATCTACAAAAACAAACCCTAGCCCTGCTGAATCTTGGTCCACACAAACACGAAGCGATAACACCTAGACGTGGGAGTTCTTCCCTCCAGTCCCAGCTGATAAACCAGGGGTTAGGGTAAGGCTCACCACACCATATCCTGTGACCATTCCTTCCCCGCCCTTTCAGTTGCTCAATAAGTTTTTTGGGATGAGCTGAAATTATGCTCCATGGGAGATACGAAGATAACAAAACAACCCTATGCTGTCCTATCATTGGTTCATCTCTAGACCAGTAATGCTTCCCTAGCTAGTAGTAGCTCTCCAGAGTCTTAGGAAGAGCTATTGTCCAGGCCTGATATTCGCCACCTCTTTTGAACTGGAGATGCCAAGGTTGAACCTGAGGCCTTCTGCGTCTGACCCGTTGAGCTGGATCCCTCTCTTTCCATTTTTGTTGCCAGTACAGGTAAAAAGGTAAAAGGTAAAGGACCCCTGGATGGTTAAGTCCAGTCAAAGGCGACTATGGGTTGCAGCACTCATCTCGCTTTTCAGGCTGAGGGAGACAGTGTTTGTCCACAGACAGCTTTCCGGATCATGTGGCCAGCATGACTAAACCGCTTCTGGTGCAATGGGACACTGTGATGGAAACCAGAGCGCATGGAAACACCGTTTACCTTCCCTCTGCATTGGTACCTATTTATCTACTTGCACTGGCATGCTTTTGAACTGCTGGGTTGGCAGGAGCTGGGACAGAGCAATGGGAGCTCACTCCGTTGCGGGGATTCAAACCACCGACCTTCTGATCGGCAAGCCCAAGAGACTCAGTGGTTTAGACTACAGCGCCACCCGCGCCTCCCAATTTGCATGTGGGTCGCATTCTGGGTCATTGAGCACTTGTGTGAAATCGCTTGCAATTGAAACGCCCCGTTCTGCCCCTGCTCCACCCTTTTAGTGACTTTTTTATGACGTTTCCAAGTCACTTCCAGGTTTGGCGCTGCGTGCATGTACACAATTGCGAACATATTGGCCACGCCTAAAATGGGTTGCCTGTACAAGTTGTTTTATCAATAAAGGTCTCTGGGTGTCAGGCACGGAATGTCCAGAGTGAGGAATGAACTCCTTATTGTCAGACTCAAAAAATATACTTACATGTTTGGGGAATGCATGCCTGTCAGTCCTATGAGTCTCAGCTAGTCCTAGGTATGCACCCAATGAGGCAGTTGCCACAACAGAGAAGCCCCACCCTCAGTTCATCTGTCTCCCCTATTGTCAGGCGTAGAGAATCCTCTCCTCCGCCGGTAGGATCAAAGGCAAGGAGAACAAGCAAGTTCATATTTATGGGTTTTATTCAGTCATCTGGGTGCAAGACAAAGACTCCAAATCTCCACGCAATGGAGATGTTGCCTACTTTGAGTCCTTCCTCTTCCATCCCCAACAGCATCCTGAGTCCCTATGGGAGTCACACACCTCCACATTCTCTCTTCTTGAATGCAAAGTGATTGACGAGCCCTTGGAGAAGGAGGCTCTCCCAGACACTCCAAGGAGATCTCTGCTGGCTGCTCTCTCGCTCCCTCCTCCTCCACCACTATCTCGTAACTTGGCAGTTCTTCACTTGGCTGTAATTCAACCCTGTCTCCTCCTCCTCTTGAAACTGCTGGAGACAAAGGGAGTCTTCCCACTCCATGAGGAGACAGAGGGGACAGTTCCCAGCCTTCCTGTTCAGTCCAGTCCCTGACACCTATCCGACCTACGTGCAAGCAGGTGAAGACTGTGCCTGCATGTAACCTTTTGCTCCTCCCTCTTCAGTCCTCTACTGGTCCTGGGAGACAGTGGAGCAGGAGAGTCGGTGGCAGGAGGAGGAGCCCATGAAACTCCACCAGCCTGGCCCATCTCTCCCTCCAATCCTGCAGCTTCTCCTGCCTCTCACTCATCTCTTGGCTGTCACAGGTTCTCCCAGTTCACAGATCCCTTCTTCCAAGTCAGACTCCAAACCCCCATTCCCGGTACCCACTCATCAGTATCCAGCCACCACTCCTCATGTACACGATTGTGAACATAGCAGCCATGCCTAAAACAGGGGTTTCCTGTACAAGTTGGACTTTGGACCTCCTTTTCCTGTGACATTATATTACTGGGGTGGTGGCCCTCCAGGTGTGGTGAGCCCACAACCCCAACCATTGGCCATCCTCATTCAACAGATGCAAAGGGCCACAGCTGCCCCACCATCACTATCCAGGGAACTCCAAAGGGTAGGTGCCATCACACAGAAGGCCAGACAGGATGGTATCTGCAAGATGTCCTTGCCTGCAGAATGCAGCATCCGTTTGGAATGTAGGGCAGGAAATGATATTTTGGGTGGTATTCTGGTCCCAAACTGTATAGCCAGTTTCCTGCACATTGAAATTAGCCTGGTAATATATGGGAGCACTGAACATGCTGCAGTCTACAAGCAAAAGCGTTGCTTTGCCTTTATTTCCTTCCACATAAACTCAACATTAAAAATCAGGGCATTTTGCCTGAAGGGGGGGGTGTGGCAGGTTGGGAGAAGAAGGAATCAGAAGGGGGTAGAAGGTTTGGGCCCTGAATTCCTTAGTGCAGCATATATATATATATATTTGTCGCAAACACCCTTGTCAAAAGGGTTGATGTAAAAATTAGCATTTGACAGAAATGTGTCACTCAAGTTCTCATTAGCGCAGTAAACATTCCCTTCTCTTTCACCCCGGTCCCTTCCAGCCTACAATGTAAATAAGAACAATGTTTAGCAGCTTTTAAAATTATGCAGATAGCTTTTAATGACTTTGAAGCATTCAGATACTTTCACTCATATGTCACAAAACAGATTTGATTTATAGGGATGACATTTGGCGGAGCAATTAATCCATACTATGCTCTAATCATGTTTAGTGCTAGGAATATGTATATCTGAATCTCTCTCATATATATATATATATATATATATATATATATATATGAGAAGAGAGGGAGAGGAAGCACACACTTTTGAAATCAAGTATCGCTTTTACCCCTCTAGTTTTGCATATCATGTTTTCAAAATGCAGAAAGGTAAAAAGGCTTGAAAATTAGCCAGCAGGTTATTTCTAATAATGGAATTAGAGATAAGAAAGGAGGGAGAATCTTGTTCACACTGGGAGCATAATGAGAAGACGTGCAAAGCGATCAGCTCAAATACTTGACAATAACTGACAAAAAGGGAGAAATGGTTGACACAAACATGGACCAGCTACTAAAAAGAAAATGCACAAACAGTGCTCACTGGAATCCCAACAGCGTAATGCAGTTAATAGTTGGACAGAGATTAAATTTTGCATTTAAAGGTGAATCTACCCAATTAGCACGTTCTAAAATGCTACATAGGGACACAGGTGGCGCTGTGGGTTAAACCACAGAGCCTAGGACTTGTCGATCAGAAGGTCGGCGGTTCGAATCGCCATGACGGGGTGAGTTCCCGCTGCTCGGTCCCTGCTCCTGCGAACCTAGCAGTTCGAAAGTACATCAAAGTGCAAGTAGATAAATAGGTACCACTCCGGCGGGAAGGTAAACGGCATTTCTGTTCGCTGCTCTGGTTCGCCAGAAGCAGCTTAGTCATGCTGGCCATGTGACCCGGAAGCTGTACGCCGGCTCCCTCGGCCAATAAAGTGAGATGAGCACCGCAACCCCAGAGTCGGTCACGACTGGACCTAATGGTCAAGGGTCCCTTTACCTTTACCTTAAAATGCTACATGAAGCGAAACTCAACCAATCCTTCGAAATCTGTACTTTCCCAAATTTTGAGGCAGTGCTCTAACCTAGGACTCAGCTACATTGGCAAAGAAAAAACGCTTTATATGTGTTGTAAATGCATTCTAACACTGTGGCACCAGATAGCGCTGCGGAGTTCCATTTTTGCTTACCCAATTTCTCATACAAAGTTTGCAGCGCGTTTAGCTGAAACGCTTCTTTGATGTGTCTAGATCCGTTGTTCCCAATGTGGGGCGCCATTTGATTTTTAAGGGAGGCAATTCGAGAATGAGTTATTAACAGTGAATGGCCTTGGCTCCCTCCATGTGAATAGGAGTTCACTTTTTGAATAATTAGAATTATATGTCATGGGAGGGGGGATTGCACCAGGATTTTAGAGATGCTTAGGTGGCCAAAAAAGGTTGGAAGCCACTGGTCTAGGGTCTAGATCCAGCCCAAATTAATATAGAAATTCACGTACCTGCCCTTCTCTTTCACAAGCCAGCACAGCACAGCTAGTATGGGAAGTTTTTTATGACTGATGTTTTGATATATTTCTAATCTTTTGTTGGAAGCCACCCAGAGTTGCTGGAGAAACCCAGCCAGATGGGCAGGGCATAAATAATAAATTATTATTATTATTATTATTAGACTTTAACTTAGCACAACGCTATGTTCCTTCCATTGACTCCATCTGTGCTACTGTTTCAGGACATGTCCCTATATTTAGGGTCAAGGTAGGCTTACACCAATCCAGTAATTTAGCCATCAGAAACTTTAAAACAAAAAAAAGCATATAATTCAGATTTCACTTCCAGTGCAGTTAGGGAAAATGTACAAAACTAGTTCAAATATATGTTGGAAGTGTAAGGAAAAGGAGGGGACATTTTATCATATGTGGTGGGATTGTAATGTAATTTTAAAAAATTGGGAAATGATATACAACGAATTGAAGAAAATGTTCCATTTAACACTTGTTAAAAAACCTGAAGCATTTTTGTTAGGGATTGTAGGGAAAGATCTGCCAAAAAAGCTGAAAAACATCTTCATGTATGCGACAACGGCCAAGAGAGTTCTAAGAGCACAAGGATGGAAGACTGAAGAAACCCCAACTAAAGAATCATGGCAAGAAAAATTGATGGACTATGCAGAACTGGTAAAACTGACATACAAGCTGCAGGACAAGGATAACTGTGACTTTAAAGATGAATGGGAACCCTTTACAAAGTATTTGAAGATGCAACAAAGCGAACTGGACTCCTTGGCTGGCTTTGAATAAACATTCACAAACTTTTTATTGATAATAATCAGCTAAATAGTTTGAGGATCTGTACAACTTTGTAACATGCAGAAAACAGCCTTCTCATAGAAACCAAAGACTGAGGGAACTGAGGGAAGCCGGGGGGTGGGTGGGTTTTGTGTTGGAGGGTGGGGGGAGGGAGCAAAAAGGGGGGGAATGAGGATGATATGTTTTTGGATAATATGTTTTGTTTTAATTTTGAATAATTTTTTTATTATAATAATAATAATAATAATAATAATAATTCAGATTTCACTTAATTCTCACTCAGGGCCTTCATCGCATGTGTGCAAAGCCATCCTGAATGCCAACGAGGGATGAACCAAAGTCCGATGGTGGAATTCACAGCCGGCTCCATTTTTCTGAGGGAGAAACATCCCTCACCTTGAATTTCCACTCGTGCTTAGTAGCTGCAATGAGAGTGAGCCAAAGCAGGCAACAAGGCTGTCACTCACTTCAAAACTGCTGAGCAGTTGCAATACTTTGAGTCGCTAAACTCCACAGTCGGCCACAGTTAAGATGACAGTGTAGAGATGAAACAACGTGTTCCATGACAAGGAACCGGTGGGGAGCCAGCCGTGTGTGAGAGAGCTATTCACACAACACATTTTCTCACATCATCGTCTCCTCGTGAAAAAGCGGCTTGCTGGGTAGGTCATCCTTTGAATATACGTTGCCCGTCATTTATTCCTGCTCATAGCTAGCTAGCAATTTGGCTATAAAACGTTTTTAGCTATACGGTTTTGACGCCTTCTGCTATCTAGTTGAATAATGAATTGAGCTTTCCCAAAAGCCAATCTACAGATCCAGGATCCGAAGAGTCATCATTTCCATTAGAGGTACATAAATCCGATAAACGTTACAGGTTTGAAGTTACAACTACAGGCTGTCACCTCAGTGCTTTCAAGTGCCAGTTATTTTCTGCACAGTCTGAGTCACAGCCCTGGTGCTTCAGCAGGAAGACTTCAAACTCTCCCTCATGAGAGTACAGATAAACCAAATCGGGGCATTTTATCATTGTTTTGCTGGTGGGCCCTATAAACTATCGTTTTTCAGACATCTGGAAGGTCAGGCACATCTCTTTAACGGAAAGACTGATTTTCATCATTTGGAACCCAAATGAAAAAGGATAATTGACAAGGAGAAGAGGTGTTTTCTCACAGGAAATAAAATACCATAGTTGGCTGCATTGTGAATTTCTTAAAAGATGACCACCTCATGGCTTCATACTTGCTGCTAGGGGATGGAAAAAGAGGAAATTCCAGTCACACAGGCAAATATAAATACACACAGAGAGACACACACACAGTGTGGTACCTCAGTTTACGAACAGCCCTGTTAATGAACTATTCGGTTTACAAACTCTGCAAAACCAGAAGTAGTGTCCCAGTTTGCGAACTTTACCTTGGTCTAAGAATGGAAGCCAAACCATGGAAGAGCACCGGCGGCGGGAGGCCTCATTAGGGAACACGCCTTGGTTTAAGAATGGATTTGGTTTAAGAGCAGACTTCAGGAACAGATTAAGTTTGTAAACCAAGGTACCACTCGTGTGTGTGTGTGTGTGTGTGTGTGTGTGTGTCTGTGTGTCTGTGTGTCTGTGTCCATGTGTCACATAACTTCTTACAATGTTCTTTGTTGTCAAGAAAAGTGGGAGATACAAATCCTAAATGAAAGACTATCTCCCAGAGTAGGCAGTATATTGGTTTTAAAGGTAAAGGGTAAAGGGACCCCTGACCATTAGGTCCAGTCGTGGTCGACTCTGGGGTTGCGACGCTCATCTCGCTTTATTGGCCGAGGGAGCCGGCGTACAGCTTCCAGGTCATGTGGCCAGCATGACTAAGCCGCGTTTCCGAGCACAATTCAAAGTGTTGGTGCTGACCTTTAAAGCCCTAAACGGCCTCGGTCCTGTATACCTGAAGGAGCATCTCCACCCCTATCATTCAGCCCCCACTGAGGTCCAGCACCGAGGGCCTTCTTGCGGTTCCCTCATTGCAAGAAGTGAGGTTGCAGGGAACCAGACAGAGGGTCTTCTTGGTAGTGGCGCCCACCCTGTGGAACGCCCTCCCTTCCGATGTGAAGGAAATAAGCAGCTATCCTATCTTTAAAAGACATTTGAAGGCAGCCCTGTTTAGGGAAGTTTTTAATATTTAACGCTGTACTGTTTTTAACACTTGATTGGGAGCCGCCCAGAGTGGCTGGAGAAACTCAGCCAGATGGGCGGGGTATAAATAATAAATTATTATTATTATTATTATTATTATTATTACCAGAGCATCACATGGAAATGCCGTTTACCTTCCCGCCGGAGTGGTACCTATTTATCTACTCGCACTTTGATGTGCTTTCGAACTGCTAGGTTGGCAGGAGCAGGGACCGAGCAACGGGAGCTCACCCGTTGCAGGGATTCAAACCGCCGACCTTCTGATCGGCAAGTCCTAGGCTCTGTGGTTTAACCCACAGCGAAACCCGCGTCCCTTATATTGGTTTTAGGCAGTGCTATTTTTCTAGAAAAAGAGGTGACAGAACTCACCATGAACGCCTCCTTTGTTCTCTTATACTGACAATGGCACTCACCTGAGAGGTGCCAGAACTGAGTTCCGAATGAAAAAGTCCTGGTTTAAAGCTTTCTGTCTGAATACACTGAGGAGAGCGAGGAAGCAAAGGGTCCCACCAGAAAGGGGTGGACTTTGGTAATCTTTCATAATATAGTACCCTGTGCGAAGCCAAAGTTTGGTGCTTCCAAATGGCTCTTCTCAATTATGGATCTTCTCAATTTTGCACCCCCTCAGCTCAGTGATATGCGCTGGGGAACCACCAGCACCACCCTAAATCCAGAACTGCTCCAGATGGTCGTTTTATTCTTCAGCAGCTCCTCCCAAACACATTCCCAGCAGCTGTAGCTAAGGCTGCCCCACTCTTTCGTAGCTGAGACAAGGGTGGCTAGTCAGCAATGGTAGAAAGAGTAAGTGGACCCAGCAAAGCAGTGATTTGTTATTGTTGAATGTTGTATGGAACATGTAGGAAAGGCTTGACAGCATAATTTGGCGGAAGGGGCTAGTTCTCACTTGTCAGCTCTGTCTTTGCGTTCCACCCGGTGCTATACCAGCTGCACTGGCTCCCGGTGGAGTACAGGATCAGGTTTAAGGTGCTGGTTTTAACCTTTAAAGCCCTATACGGCCTAGGACCCTCGTACCTTCGGGACCGCCTCTCCTGGTATGTCCCACAGAGGAACTTACGGTCTTTAAATAAAACCATCCTGAAAGTCCCAGGCCACAGAGAGGTTAGGCTGGCCTCAAACTAGAGCCAGGGCTTTTTCGGCTGCGGCTCCAATCTGGTGGAACGCTCTGTCACAAGAGACTAGGGCCCTGCGGGACTTGACATCTTTCCGCAGGGCCTCCAAGACAGAGCTGTTCCACCAGGCCTTTGGTCAGGGCGCAGCCTGACTCCCTCCCTTGGCAATCTTCACAGAACCTTAGCCTAATGGTTGCCATCCATTTGAGCTGAATTAATTTTTATAATGAAATGTTTTTAGAATGTGGTACTATTTTATTGTTGTTAGCCGCCCGGAGCCCGGCTTCGGCTGGGGAGGGTGGGATATAAATAAAAAATATTATTATTATTATTATTATTAGCAGTAGAACCTTGGTTCTCGAACGGCCTAGTTGACGAATAAATCGGCTCCCAACTGCTGTAAACCCAAAAGTAAGTGTTCCTTTTTTCGAACGTTTTTTGGAAGCCTAATGTCCGACGCTGCTTTCGCTTCAGTGCAGGAAGCTCCTGCAGCCAATCGGAAGCTGCCCCTCAGTTGCCGAACAGTTTCGGGAGTCAGACGGACTTCCGGAACGGATTAAGTTCGAGAACCAAGGTTCCACTGTCCTTGTACCAAACATCCTCCAGACAGACAGATGGCAACAACAACAACAATTTGACATCCCTTGCTGAGACCCCAGCTATCCAGCTGAGCCTAACTGCCCAGAACCAGCTATACACATAAATAGATGCAAACGTTATGCAAATTTCTGTGATCAGCCTCTTACCTGAGTTTTTTAAAGTATCAAGCTTGACACCACATTATGGCATTCCGCCTTTGCCTCTGAGCTCAAGCCATGCCTGCAACATTACCTCCCTAACTGGAAAAAAAATAATGATTTGCCACTTCTTTAATGGACAGAGGGAATCCAATAAATACCCACAAAATATTGCCTATATTAGGGTGTCATGTTAAAGTTATTTCGATCGATGAGGAATCGATTGAATTACCAGCTCAACGCAAGAGAGTTAATCAGCTAAAGAATGCTATCAAATCATTTGGCAAACCCCTCAATGAAATAACTCCTGCTCTTATTTTTAGAAGAAGGGAAAACAGCAAGCCCCTGAACACTAACACTTTTCGCAGCACAGGAATGATTGACGCCTTGGTGATTTCAACAGAGCTGAACAACAAAAAAGCTTCAGAAAGATTTTCCTCCACGTCTATCATCTAGAACTATGATCACTGTAGTTTGGACACTGCAGTCTGGAAAACAGTCTTTGGAGAATTCAAACCAGGACTGTAATGCATAGGCATAAAGGGAACTGACTGGTTTACCTCAGGCATGGAGAAACTATCTGCTCAAGGGTCACATTATTATTATTATTATTATTATTATTATTATTTCAGTTTATATACTGCCCAATTTATATATCGCCCTTTATCAGAAGATCCCAGGGCGGTGTACCACATTAAAACACATCAATGATATTATTGAACATCAATGATAAAAACATAATCAAAACACAATAAAACGCATCCTGACAGGCAGCCTAATAATAAAATAGTCATCATAACAACCGTCTTCTCCCCCACACTTTCACAGGCCAGAGATTATTTAATAGCCCTAGGTCTAGGTAAAGAGGAATGTTTTTGCCTGGCACCTAAAGACACATAGTGATGGCGCCAGGCGGGTGTCTCTGGGGAGAGCATTCCACAATCAGGGAGCCACCAGAGATAAGGCCCGTTCTTGTGTTGTCACCCTCTGAACCTCAAAGGGATGGGGGACACAGAGAAGGGCCTCAGATGACAAGCCCAGGGCCTGGTCGGTTCATACATGGAGAGGCGATCCTTCAGGTATTGAGGCCCGGAGTTGTGTAAGGCTTTGTAGGTCAACAGCTGCACTTTGATTTGGGCCTCGAAAGTAATCGACAGCCGGTCCAGTTGTGACAGGGTTGGTCACATGTTCTGGATCATCACCTGGTCATGGTGAGTGGGCTTGAACGTTCCTGTGATCCTCGTGAGCAAAGCCTTCAGGAGTCATACACTCCCAGTAGGGTCACCTAAGATAGAGGAGAGGAGCTGTCTTCTCGTATATGCATCGTCAACCTTTTAGATCTTTTCACTGTGTGGTCTTCAGTCTGAAAGCAACATTCTTAATTGGCAATTAAATGGGAGCGGCCGCCGAGACCGTATAACACCGGTCTTGAAAGACCTACATTGGTTCCCAGTACGTTTCCGAGCACAATTCAAAGTGTTGGTGCTGACCTTTAAAGCCCTAAATGGCCTCGGTCCAGTATACCTGAAGGAGCGCCTCCACTCCCATCATTCTGCCCGGACACTGAGGTCCAACTCCGAGGGCCTTCTGGCAGTTCCCTCATTGCGAGAAGCCAAGTTACAGGGAACCAGGCAGAGGGCCTTCTCGGTAGTGGCACCCACCCTGTGGAATGCCCTCCCACCCGATGTCAAAGAGAACAACAACTACCAGACTTTTAGAAGACATCTGAAGGCAGCCCTATTTAGGGAAGCTTTTAATGTTTGATGTATTACAGTATTTTAATATTTTTTTGGAATCCGCCCAGATTGGCCACGGAAGCCCAGCCAGATGGGCGGGGTATAAGTTATAAATTATTATTATTAATAATAATAATTATTATTATCCCAGCCCAAGAGCCTAGTTTTACACACAAAGAGTCCCTCTGGTGTTTATGTTTTTAATTCACCCAATCTATGACATCAGCCTGCTGCTGGGCAGACTTTCATTTCAGGTTTGGGTCAGAGTTGACTTCTCTAACGCGCTTTGGGTTGGGGTGAAATGTGTGTAACTGATTATCAAAATCTACACATCACAATGGTCACACAACTATGAACACACCCAAAATAAGACATTTCATTCAATGGATTTCCCCTCATCTGTTGATCACGTTGGACTCTGTGATCGTTTCTGTGGCTGCCTGAGGTTTCTGAAACATGGAAGAAAAGAGTCGCACAAGCCAATGAGTTGAGGGCCAGAATTTTAGACCAAACATTCCTTCAGCCATGAGTCAAGACCTAGAGCAGGCTGCAAAAGAAGCTCAAAGCCACTCACAGTGGCTATTTTGAATGAAAAGTGTCAAGAAGTAAAGAGGTTTCCTTTATGCATAGTTATTCTTATCTGCAATGTGTTTCAAGCACAATCCTAAGCATGTTTACTTGGAAGTAAGCCCCAATGAGTTACATAGGGCCTACACCCAAGTAGGTCAGCATAGCAGTACAGCCTAAGGCATAGCTGTCAACTTACAGATTTGAAAATAAGGAACCAGCAGCCTCGAAAATAAGGGATCAGCAGCCAAAAGAAGGGATTTTCTGAAAACAGGTATGTTCAACTTCTGAGCCCCTCCGAGCCAAAGGCAGAAAGCCCAGCCAGCAGCCAAACAAAGCCTCAAGCGGTGGTTCCCACAGCGCAGCAACCCGGCAAAGGGGATGCAGCAAGGAAAACCACCGTCACCTCTCCGCTGGGAAGCGCTGAGCAAAGGCGAGTCCCCAAGCAATGCGGCCGATTTGATCGGCACAAGGCATGCGAGCTCCACCCCCCAGTCGTTCTTAGACTCCTTATTGGGTGAGCAACACAGCCAAGCAACACAGTTGGAGCCTCCCTCCTCCCTGGCCAGCAGAGAGGGAGGGAGAGGAGCTGCTTCCTTTGAAACCCGGAAAATTTAAGGGACATCATCAATAACGGACAGCAGCGGGACACGGCGCTGGGATAAGGGACTTTCCTGCCAAATAAGGGACGGTTGACAGCTATGGCCTAAGGATGCAATGCTGTACCCAATTTCTTTAAGGTAAGCTCTGTTGAATTCAGTGGGGCTTATTTTTGATTACACATGTCAAGAATTATGCTATTAATCTCCTTCCAATATTAAAATTCAGGGAATATATAAGTAATACGTTGTCCCTAACGGGACGCGTACATTTTAGGAGGAGAAATTAGTTTGGTCTGCCTATTAAAGCAATCCAAAGCTTTTGCACAGGCCCCAACTTACACACAGAGTAGAACAGAGCTATGAGTTGGACAGAAGCACTCTCTGAATGTTGTGATCTACTTACAGTTATTCCGCCTGGCCTTTAATTTGAACTCAGCCTTTTATTTATTTTATTTCCCTTCTCTTCCCTCCCCCTCCCCTTTTATGACGATTACCTGCTCTGAGACCGCACAGCTAATTCTCCCCTGGCCTCCTTGCTGGCCCAAGTAGGACCAATTCAGCCAGCAAGCCCTGGGGATTATCTAATGCTTATTTCCCCTAAAATGATTTCTGAATTTTGAATTTTATTGTTACCCATGTTTTTATACTGTATTTTATGCTGCTTTTACAATTAAGTGTTTTAAATTTGTTGTCAGCCACCCTGAGCCTGGTTTTTGAACCAGGAAGAGTGGGGTATAAATAAATAAGTTGTTGTTATTATTATTATTATTATTATTATTATTATTATTATTATTACAGTTCAACTACATGCACAAAATGCATGTCTTATAGGGAATGCAAACAAAAAGGCATATTTTAAAGGAAACACATAAAAAAAAGTTTATATTTCAGGAGGAAAAACGTGCAAAATGCTATTTTCTGCATTAAAAAAAATCACAAAAATTGGACAGAATGGACCAATAATTGAGCTGGCATGGAAAGGAAATAGGCTGAACCATCCATCCCTACATCATAAGACCACAATATATTAAAAACTTAAAATAGACAAATGCAGATATTACAGCAAGAATGAGATCCCACCCCCACCCCCCAAAAAAGAAATCCTCACCATGATGAACAGAGAAGTTTCCAACAGACAACTTAAAGTAGATGCTTAGGTAGATGCCTTACATGAGATTTAATAGTGAAGTGGTTTTCAAACATACCAATGGGTTTTGCACATAAATACTCTTACTTTGGGGGGTCCACTCAGATAAATAAGAAATCTAAATTCTGCATGAATTTGGTCTTTTACTGTGGAATATGTAAACTTATTCAACAGTTTTCCCGTTGAGAAGTCTGTTGACCTTTCCTGAGTACACAGAAATGTCATCTTTCCACATTGAGCAAGCGCTGGCAAATTTGGAAACCAGCTTATTGATGAACTTGTCACATGCTCTTTTTGCCTTCACTTTGTACATTTATAGCAAAAATAACTTTGATCCTTGAGATATGGTAAAGGTACCCCTGCCCGTACGGGCCAGTCGTGTCTGACTCTAGGGTTGTGCGCCCATCTCACTTAAGAGGCCGGCGGCCAGCGCTGTCCAGAGACACTTCCGGGTCACGTGGCCAGCGTGACAAGCTGCATCTGGCGAGTCAGCGCAGCACACGGAAACGCCGTTTACCTTCCCACTAGTAAGCGGTCCCTATTTATCTACTTGCACCCGGGGGTGCTTTCGAACTGCTAGGTTGGCAGGTGCTGGGACCGAGCAACGGGAGCGCACCCCGCCACGGGGATTCGAACCGCCGACCTGATGATCGGCAAGTCCTAGGCGCTGAGGTTTTACCCACAGTGCCACCCGCGTCCCCCCTTGATATATATATATATATAAATATATATATATATTTCCAATATACCCCCAATAATAGCCAAATTATGACAATAACAATTAATTCCCAAATTATACAATTATCAAAATGCCAATCAATTTCCAATTAATACATTTTAGTTAAAGTGGCTCGATGCATGATGGTTTGGGTGCATTTCCGATCTTATATCACTGTGTTCCATAAATCTTAATTAATGTCAGTTACATTTCAGTTATAATAATCATCCCTTAGTCAATGGCTACATAATTAATGATTTCCATTCATGACGTTACAATATATAACTTTATAAAGCTTCAAGTCAGGAACTCAAACCGTTATCTTTATTCTGCCCTGTGGGTGAAAACTATTATATCCATGGAGATTCCTTTTGTACCTAGATGGTGTTGTCTCTTTCATTTCCCAGCTGTTGTTTTCTCCCATCATGGCTTGGGGCAGAACTGAATCTCAAAGTTTCTCACAGGTCTTATCTCTCCATCCCTTGCTTCGATGTCTCAGAACAGGCAACAGTCTGCCTCACTAGTAAAACATGTCGCAGATCTTCGCCATTTTACCCTCAGCCTAGGAAAAGGTGGGAAGTTTTCAAACACACTGAATATTCAATACTCCTTTCCAACTCCCAGAATCTCTGCAGTGTTCTTATCACAGCCCCCCAATTCTTTTCCTTTCAGCAAGAGATTTATGGCCCAATTAAACTTTATCTTAGATCACATTCCGTCAGTAGCACACACAAATCTTGGTCTCTTTTTCCTTGTCTGTTGTTTTTAAACAGAGGTGAGGGGAATTACTCTTTCTTTCCAACACAGTCGTACTTGAGCTTCTCCTCCCCCTCCTTTCTTCATTTCAGATCACACACAGTTTCCATTTTTGCTTGTTAATATCAATATTACTCCAACGTCCCTTCCTCACCTGTAAATATATTTTTATCTTATATTCCAGAGAGGGTTGCCAAATCATAAATATATAAAAGAAGCTTAGAATAAACAAACAAATGGCGGACTTCCCTCTCCCCAACCGACTCTCACTCTGAATAAAATCTTTCTCAATTCAAACCTTTGATCCATGTAGCTGGTATATTCAGCACTAAGTTATTTCAATCCTTTTCCATCATGTGCCAGTACTTTAAAGCCAATTAAATCTCCAATTAAATGGAGAACCTCTGCTTCTTAATAGTGGCATAGGAGGCTTTTCACCAGGCAGCATCTCCTTGCCTCCTGCAATTCATGCCGCAGCGAGAGCCAGGTACCAAGACGAACTGTGAGTGAAGCCCATTGCCCCCCGATCCTGGGGGGAATTTGCAAGGATGATTTACGCTCTGTCATCCTTGTTTTTTGTTCGCCTATGATCCCCCGCTATCATGGGGGCTGCTTCCATTAAGGCAGGCAGGACCGGAGGCCAACTTTGATCCTTGGTTAATGTCTGAGACAAGAAAGGAGTTGCCAAATAAATCCTTCAAACTATTGGATTTTCATTAGGAAAAACATGAGTTAACCTAACTGTAAAGCAGGAGAGGGGAACCTTTGTCCCTCTCAAATGTTTCTGGACCACAAATCCCATCATTCTTGACCATTTGCTATGTTGGCTGGGGCTGATAGGAATTGGAGTCCAATACCACCTGGAGCAGCATCTTAAAAAGTAGAGACATCACCTTGCCAACAAAGGTCCGTATAGTAAAAGCTATGGTTTTCCCAGTAGTGATGTATGGAAGTGAGAGCTGGACCATAAAGAAGGCTGATCACCGAAGAATTGATGCTTTTGAATTATGGTGCTGGAGGAGACTCTTGAGAGTCCCATGGACTGCAAGAAGATCAAACCTCTCCATTCTGAAGGAAATCAGCCCTGAGTGCTCACTGGAAGGACAGATCCTGAAGCTGAGGCTCCAATACTTTGGCCACCTCATGAGAAGAGAAGACTCCTGGAAAAGACCCTGATGTTGGGAAAGATGGAGGGCACAAGGAGAAGGGGACGACAGAGGACGAGATGGTTGGATAGTGTTCTTGAAGCTACCAGCATGAGTTTGACCAAACTGCGGGAGGCAGTGGAAGACAGAAGTGCCTGGCGTGCTCTGGTCCATGGAGTCACGAAGAGTCGGACCTGACTACATGACTAAACAACCACCTGGAGGGCAACATGCTGCATACCCATTGTGCTAACACAGAAGACATATATTATTTTCAAGGATCTAGTAATTTGCTTTTAAAAGCACTTTTTCTCTAAAATATCTGATTTGACACAATGGCACTATACAAATCTTTATGTGAATGTTCTCCATTTGCTATACAATTAGCAGTTGCAAAAAAAAAAAAAAACCCCAAAAAACATGCAGGCAATTGCTTATACATTGCTGCAATAAGATTTGTTCCAAGGAAATTTCCTCTTGTTATTTTTACAGGAGCTTTTCGTATTACAGAACTTGCTTCTCCATTAATAAAACTTTCCCTGCCCGTTTCATAGGAGCTTACAGTTATACGTGCAGTTCCTGAGTTTAGTGGAAGTACAATGAGCAGTTGGCAAAATGAAGGAAGCATCTTTTCGGTTCCCTGTGTCTTTAGAGCCTGCTGTTCCAAAGACGAGTTACGTAAAACACTGTGGCAATACTGTTTCGCAAACACACAATTATTATTAATTGCTGCCTACATCAGATTTCCATCCACTCTGCAATGGGTGCTATCAGCTAAAGTACACTCATACGGTTGAAATGCTAACGTAAGATTATCAATAGTGCATGGCATTTAGTCTGTTATAATCTCTGCCCTGAGATTGCGGAGTTCATAAAAGCTAGCTATAAAAATATAATTCATCCATGTTACTAAAGAGCCAATGTCTACAGCTCTTATAAAACCAAACCACCCCTCCACAGTCCTCCTGCACCAGTCTGGAATGTATTAATGATTCATTTTTTAAAAACACCTTTCCTATGCTTTTTTGTTTTGCATTTCTTGTTTCAAGGACAACTTAATGCAGCCATTTAAAATTACTGGCATTCATATCTTTAATAAGCTGCAAACAGATAATCAGGGGCTATAAAGGATTAATTTTTCTCTTGCGTTATCAAAGGACAGCTGTAAAAGGACAAAATCCATAGTGCTGGCAGCTCTGGAGACTGAAATTGCCCCTGTCTTTCAAACTGAAGTGGGCAGGGAGTGAAAGGAAGGGCTGGTTCCTTTAAAAGAGCCATAGAACAACAAGTTGCTCTGATCCCACCCCCACAAAAGTGTTCATTGGTTTATTCCTTTTCTGTGTAGTCTAATGTCAAGGGTATGCGGGGGGGGGGAGGAGGATACCACCTCTGGTGGGGGCACGTTGTGCTCCTTCTTGAGTAATTTCTCCACCTTTGGTCCCCACCCTGAACTCAGCTCTCACCAATAGCAACATACCATCCAAGTGTTCCTGTTTTCCAGAGACAGTCCCAGAATTACAGCACCTGTCCTGGTTTCTTATTAGATCCTGGAATGTCCCACCTTCCCTTTCTCCTCCCCTCCACATCTTGGAGAACACTTAAAAGTGGGGTGTGCGTGGGTGAAAAAACAGAGACCTGCTTAAGGGACCCCTGACCATTAGGTCCAGTCGTGAACGACTCTGGGGTTGCGGCGCTCATCTCACTTTATTGGGCGAGGGAGCCGGCGTACAGCTTCCGGGTTATGTGGCCAGCATGACTAAGCCACTTCTGGCGAACCAGAGCAGCGCATGGAAATGCCGTTTACCTTCCCGCTGGAGCGGTACCTGTTTATCTGCTTTCACTTTGATGTGCTTTTGAACTGCTAGGTTGGCAGGAGCAGGGACCGAGCAATGGGAGCTCACCCCATCGCTGGGATTCGAACTGCCGACCTTCTGATCGGCAAGTCCTAGGCTCTGTGGTTTAACCCACAGCACCACCTGTGTTCCCCTTTTAGATATACTTTCCCTAAAAGGCCAGAGGCATTTCTTTTAGGAATGGGTGGGGATGAGAAAGAAGATGAAAAACAATTTCTGTATGCGACAACGGCAGCCAGAGTTTAATAATAATAATTTATTATTTATACCCCGCCCATCTAGCTGGGTTTCCCCAGCCACTCTGAGTGGCTTCCAACCGAATATTAAAAACAATACAGCATCACACATTAAAAACGTCCCTAAACAGGGCCGCCTTCAGTTGTCTTTTAAAAGTAAAAAATTGTCTATTGTCTTGACATCTGCTGGGAGGGCATTCCACAGGGCAGGCACCACTACCAAGAAGGCCCTCTGCCTGGTTCCCTGTAACCTCACTTCTCGCAGCAAGAGAATTTAGATATTTTATTTGATATTTGATATTTTATTGCTTTATTATTAATAATAATAATAATATTCGATTGGGAGCCGCCAAGAGTGGCTGGGGAAACCCAGCCAGATGGGCGGGGTACAAATATATTATTATTATTATTATTATTATTATTATTATTATTATTAGCGTCTATTCATACAGCAAGATCAAACATAGTGTAAGCTTCCTGATGTAGAATAGGTATCCCTATTTTCATTGGAGAAATGTTGGCGGGTACATAACAACAATGCCAAGTTCCAGGGCGGTCTAAAATGTCTCCAGAAATACAATTTTTGTGCATTTTGCGCGAAACACATTTCTGCGAGCACTTTTCGCACAGCGTGAATGCGTTGCAAAATTCAGGGAAGTGCTTTATCTGATGGGGAGCTGCATTCTGATCCACAATTAAGTCGGCAAGCATTGGATCAAGTTGGCCGACTGCAAAAAAAGTGAATGAAAGAAATTTTTCTCTCCCACCACCACCCCAACACACCCATTCCTACTATGCCATTCTGCTTACTCAACTTTCAGTTACAATATATTTATATGTTTTTTCATCTCCGCCAAGCTAAGCAGTTGGCTCCTTACCTCTCTCGCCCTGACCTAGCCACTGTGATCCACGCGACGGTCACCTCCAGACTGGATTATTGTAACTCACTCTACGTGGGGCTGCCCTTGAGACTGACCCAGAAACTCCAGCGGGTGCAGAATGCTGCAGCGAAACTCCTTATGGGGTCCTCGCTGTGGGATCACATTCACCCGGTGCTATACCAGCTGCACTGGCTCCCGGTGGAGTACAGGATCAGGTTTAAGGTTCTGGTTTTAACCTTTAAAGCCCTATATGGCCTAGGACCCTCGTACCTACGGGACCGCCTCTCCTGGCATGTCCCACAGAAGAACTTACGGTCTTCAAACAAAAACATCTTGGAGGTCCCAGGCCACAGAGAGGTTAGGCTGCCCTCAACCAGAGCCTGGCTTTTCCGGCTGTGGCTCCGATCTGGTGGAACGCTCTGTCACAAGAGACTAGGGCCCTGCGGGACCTGACATCTTTCTGCAGGGCCTGCAAGACCAGGCCTTTGGCCAAGGCACAGCCTGACTCCCTCCTTTGGCAATCTTCACAGAACTCTAGCCCAATGGTTGCCATCAATTTGATTTGAATTAAATTTATAATGAAATGATTTTAGAATGTTGTATTATTTTATTGTTGTTAGCCGCCCTGAGCCCGGCTTCAGCTGGGGAGGGCAGGATATAAATAAATTATTATTATTATTATTATTATTATTATTATTATTATTATTATTAAATGTGTACAGCAAAATCTTTGCTCCTATGATTATGCCTTTGTCACCTCCTCCCACCCCTGAACTAGTCCCCCCCCCTCCCTGGTGCACTCAGGCTGTGTCCTGGTACTGCAAGCCAGAAGGGCCAATACAGCAAACTCTGAGTCCTTCAAGTCAAGTACCATTGGTTGCTGTCAACCTCGCTGATTAAACAGAGGGCAAATTTTAATCTGTCATTAAAGTTCCTCTAGCTGATTAATCAACTAATGCTTGCTGCAATATATATATAAAAGCATTTGGCTTTTAGGGCGCATAGTTAAAATAAAGAGTTGAAGTTTTTAATATTATGGGTTGAGTGTTGTTTTTTAATGGTTAATAGAATAGACAGACAAGAGAAGTTACAGAGCAGGTTGTCAGTTTGAGTCAGTAAACCAGGACAGCGGCAAAACCAAGCAATATTGTGAATGACTTCACTTGTTCTTTAGCCAAGTTCCAGAAAGCGTCTGGAAATTTATTCAGTAGCAAAATGCAGATACACCTGGGACCCCAGGAATGTAGGTAAAGGATGGAGTAATGGGGAACAGAAGTTAAGCACAGCTTGCCACTGTAGATTGGATCAGAGTTTAGGAATGCCCAATCTTGTCAAATCTTTTTTAATTATGAAAGCATGTTTAAATGCAAAAGAAAGGATTGCAGCTAAAAAGACAGTCAATTTCAGACGCTAAAGCGGGTGAGGATTTCTGAATCTACATACCCCTTCTTCCAAAAGAAGCATTTATAGGTGTTGTAAGTTGTTTTTTTTTAAAGCCTTCAGAAATATAATCACAAATTTTAACATATTTTCATGACCTCCTTCTTTTCTGCTTGGTCTTAATTGCCAGACATTGCTAGATTCCAAACAAAATTATTCTCCGCAAAGAAGCCAAGGAGTCTTAAGTCTTGATTTAAATGTTACACTACTTCGATTAGACTCTACATTCAAGAACATAAATTTATAGAAAAAAAATGCTCTTATTTAGTTTTGGGAATGGGGTGTTTGTTTGTTTGTTTGTTTGTTTGTTTGTTTGTTTGTTTGTTTGTTTGTTTATCCCGCCCTCCACAGCCAAGATCAGGCTCAGGGTGGCTAATATCAGGTATAAGAACAATTGATTAAAAATACAACTTAAAAACAAGATTAAAATACTACTTAAAATGCAGCCTCATTTCACTGGAAGCCCAGATCAAAAACTGTTTGGGGGGAGAAAATATCAAATCTTCACCAAGGCCAACTATCCAGACTGGTCCTACGTGGGCCAGAAAAGCCAGGGAAGTCCCCAAATAGGGGTTCCATCACAGAAGGAAAAGGAAAGAGGGGGAGGGGATCAGGCTGGTTCCAAGCCAAAGGCCAGGTGGAACAACTCTGTCTTACAGGCCCTGCGGAAAGAAATCAGATCCTGCAGGGCCCTGGGCTCATGAGACAGAGCGTTCCACCAGGGTGGATCCAGTGTTAAAAAGGCCCTGGCCCTGATTGAGGCTAATCTGACTTCATTGGGGCCCGGGACCTCTAGTGTTGCTATTTATGGACCTTAAGGTCCTCCGCGGGACATACCAGGAGAGGCAGTCCCGTAGGTACAAGGGCCCTAGAAAATTTCTGGGGAGTGCCCTTTTCACGGCTACTCACTCACTGAATAGCTCTTTCCTCTTTCCCCACTCCCAGATTTCTTTTTCTCTCTCTGTCTTTCCCTCTCTCTTTCCCCCTCTCTCAATCTCTTCTCTCCATAGCATCTCCCAATGCTTGTATCTCCTCCTTTGGGACAAAAAGCAACCTCAACATGGATCTCACACCTGCATCTGCCCTGAATCGTGTCTGGCTTTCTTCTCTGTGTGAGAAGGAATGCAAAACTGAGTTATAAAAATTTGGGTCATCCGTAGAAGCTGAATTTGGGAGGGCGGCTTGCGAGAGATTGAGGGTGGGTAAAAGGAAGCAGCGATGGCAAGCAACGTGGATATATTTGAAAGGGGATTAGACAAATTAATGGAGGACAAGTCTATTCATGGTTACTGAATATCGGTTGCTCAGGATCACAAGTGGGAGAGTAACGCAGCCCTCATGGCCTGTTTTGGGATTTCCCATGGGTAACTGGTTGGCCACTGTGAGAACAGCCTGCTGGACTAGATGAGACTTTGGACTGATTTAGGAGGGTCATAACGGGTGGTGCTGTAGGTTAAACCACAGAGTCTAGGACTTGCCGATCAGAAGGTCGGCGGTTCGAATCCCCACAACGGCGTGAGCTCCCATTGCTCGGTCCCTGTTCCTGCCAACCTAGCAGTTCAAAAGCACATCAAAGTACAAGTAGATAAGTAGGTACCGCTCCGGCAGGAAGATAAATGGCGTTTCCATGCGCTGCTCTCGTTCGCCAGAAGTGGCTTAGTCATGCTGGCCACATGACCCAGAAGCTGTACACCGGCTCCCTTGGCCAATAAAGCGAGATGTTGTCCCCAGAGTTGTCCGCGACTGGACCTAATGGTCAGGGGTCCCTTTACCTTTACCTCCCTGGCAGAGCCTCCCTGGAAAGAGGCTGTGTTAACCGCCCTTAACATGCCTGTCATCCAAATTCCATGTGTTGTAAATCAAGAGGCAGACCTTACTCAAGAGTTGAAGCATGAAAATGGTAGACACTCCCTCACTTCTTAAGAAAATACTGTTACACAAGTTGGGTGCCTCCCCCTCTCTCTGCCGGGTGGTGGCAAGAGAGGTCTGTGGTCCTTTAGAGAATTAAAACACGACAGAGACTGCCATAGCTTTAAGAAATGTGGCTTATTCACCTACTTACACCTTCAGTCTGCATGGAGGAAGTCCAGATCTTGCAGCATGGTCATTTCAAGAGGGGCATGTCTCCCACAGCAGTGCAGGCAGCCTTCAGCCAACCTGCCCAAGATGGATCCCAGCCTTCCTTCTTCCTCCCAGAATACCGTGCTGAAAACTCTCATCCCTGCCACATACAGATCTCTAACAATACCTCCAGGAAACTGATGTCATCAATATGCAGCCACTTGGCTCCTTTATGCTGATGTGGTAACCAGATGTCTAATGAAAGGGAGGCGTGGTATTCCCCCAACTTCCCACTGCACCGCTCTGCATTGTGAAGAGCATGAGTCAAAGCAGTTATTAGCCCATAGAATGCATCATGCTTAGCCACATGCCGGCCACTGGTTTTTGTTACTGGGAGATTCAGAGATTAAAAACTGAATGGAGAATTACTCCATGACCTGGACCTTTTAACCGGATCCAAGTTAGATCACAGAGCTGCAACCATTTCAAAGCACAGAAGACTGAAGACGGGCGAGGCAAACAAAGCCATGGCTGAACAGGTATAAACAAACAAAACCACTGCTCCGTTTTATGCAGAATTTTGTAAAAAAAAAAAAAAACCAACATCACCTAACCGTATAAAGAATTCGCTTGACAAATTGTGGGGGGAAAGTTATACTAGAAAACAGAGAAAATAAAATAAATTCCCCTAATGTACTACAAATACCAACTACCACACACTACCTACAAACCATATGTTTTTCCCATCTGTTCTGTTATCTTCAACTAAATTTATAGTATTTGAGCTATCAGATGAATTGCAAAGACTGAGATGGATAGGAATATAAAACGTAGGTGTTATTACACTTTAAATATTCTTCCCCACCACCACCTCTCCCTGCCAAATAAATTTTTCGTCGTGTTTCATTAACCCAGAATGATTCTGCTATTCCTAGTAAGGTGATAGTACATGCTCGTACTCCCAGAAAGCCCATGACCGTCACCCCATTTCCTTCCTCTGTTCCCCTCCTCCATTCTGCATTGCATAGAAATGTTTGTGTCTCTTCCTCCAGCACCATATTGAAAGAGCCAGGGGTTCAAAGGATGGGACACCACACCAGGTCATGCATCAAGTCACTGCCCTTTTGCATCAGTTCAGAACCCTACCCAAGTTGGGGAGATTCAGAAGAACAATACAGTGGTACCTCAAGTTACATACACTTCAGGTTACATACGCTTCAGGTTACAGACTCCGCTAACCCAGAAATAGTGCTTCAGGTTAAGAACTTTGCTTCAGGATGAGAACAGAAATCGTGTTCCAGCGGCGTGGCACCAACAGGAGGCCCCATTAGCTAAAGTGGTGCTTCAGGTTAAGAACAGTTTCAGGTTAAGAACAGACCTCTGGAATGAATTAAGTACTTAACCCGAGGCAACACTGTATAGGAGTCTGTCTTGGGGCCACCCTTCCTTGTAATGTTTAATGTTTTTGTTTGCTAGCTCTGCACTTAACCATTACTTTTCGTGGAGTTGAATAATTGTCCTCACACACACCCCACACAGGGTCATTGCGTACATTGCACAAAGCCATGTGTATCTCCCACAGGGAGCTGAAATCACTGTCCCTTGACATTATCCTTGGGTTGAAGTTCTACTTTAAGTGCTGTAGTTTCTTGGACCCAGTGGAAGCTTCTCTTTTGGGAAAATGGAGAATTGCACCTCCAACTTCAGTCTGCCCTCGGCTAGCTCTCACCCGCCTTCCACTTCCTTCCTTCCAACCAGTCCAGCATGGTGGCACTGCCCGGAAACCTTCTCCTTAGTCTCGGGGTTGCCCCCTGTAGAACTCAGCAGGGAGGAGACTGAAGATAAAGGAAACGTAGCCAAGGGCATCCTGGTTGGCATCCATCTGTCTCGGCAGACGATGGAGGAGTGCACCTTCAGAGTGTGGGATGTGCTACATCAGTACAGTACAATCAATTACAGCATGCTTTACTTCCTAGAGTGGACAGAGAGGAACTTGCTGTTCCTGCTGTAAGTGATTCAGCAGATGAGTGCGGCTCTATAAAAGCAGAGTCACACAGACATTTTGGTTCTGTTTGATTCAACTCTCAGTTAAGTCTCATCCATCTTGTTGTCTGCTGGCTCTCAGCCAGCAGCACTTGGGCCCATCCTTACAAAGGATGTAAGCCACGTTATACGTTTGTCACCTGAAGCCTGCCTTCTAGGATGCGTACTGTGAACAACTTGTGAGTAAACTTATTGTTATACTGTACTTTTAAAGACAGACTCGTGAGTCTTTATTGTATTTTAAGAGGGAGAAAAGGAGACACCTGAGATAATCCATCTGGGCAAGCCAGATTGGATTAGTCATTTTGTAGAGATTCAAACAAATCTAATCAACTACCATCTTTTCCCAAAAGTAAGACATCCCCCCGAAAATAAGACCTACTTTCAGTTTTGCCTCTCACTGTAATATAAGGCACCCCCCAAAAATAAGACCTCCCTGATAATAAGGCCTCCCCCGAACATAAGGCCTCCCCGGAATATAAGGCCCCCGAAGCTACCGTAAGGCGTCTGACTCTTCTGGACCGTAGCGGCAGGCGCCGCTGCGCAGCTCACTGATTGGCCGCAACGCAGCCGGAGCTGTTCAGGCGGTGCGAGGTCTCTTTAAATCAGAGAGCCTGCGCCGCCACCAGGATAAGTTGCCGCCTGCTGCCCTGACAGAGTCTGGCTGACTCACAATTAGACAATAAATGTGTACCATATTCTTCTTCATGGAAAAATAAGACATTTCCTGAAAATAAGACCTAGCGCATCTTTGGGAGCAAAAAGTAATATAAGACACTGTCTTATTTTTGGGGAAACAAGGTAGCTTCCGTGAATATAGAGGGGATTTGCTCTGCTACATCACTCACTAGTGTGAGTGAAGGAAGGATAATACTTAACAATATTTCCTTGCCTATTATCCTAAACATCCCCACACAGGGGTGAAGTAAAAACATTGGAGAGTTACGGCTGCTGCTGTGGCTGTAGAGACTGATATGGGAGAGACATGTTTTGTTGCAGCTGGGGCAGATGAAGGCGTCCAGTTTCACTGGTGCAAATGTACCATGGTGTTTCTTCTCTCTGAGCTCCTCCAAGTGGTCATTACTCCTCTGGCCACTGCTGTGGAGGCACTACCTGTCTTTCTACAGGTCATCTGATCTGAGGTACATTCCACACACTTCACTTCTGTTTTTCTAGCAAAGAAGAAGAGTTTGGATTTGATATCCCGCTTTATCACTACCCGAAGGAGTCTCAAAGCGGCTAACATTCTCCTTTCCCTTCCTCCCTCACAACAAACACTCTGTGAGGTGAGTGGGGCTGAGAGACTTCAAAGAAGTGTGACTAGCCCAAGGTCACCCAGCAGCTGCATGTGGAGGAGCGGAGACGCGAACCCGGTTCACCAGATTACGAGTCCACCACTCTTAACCACTACACCACACTGGCATTGCCACAAGTGGCCAAAGAACAGGGGAGAGATGTGAGACTAACTACATCCAACAGAAATACCTGCAGATGGATTGTTCTACTGCTATCTCTCAATGCCCTCCGTATCACCAGGTTTCCCTCCCCAGGTCATATCAGCACATAGTGCAAGGCAGATTATACCGATATGCATTTTGATTCCAAGAATCCTGCCATCTCCCATGGCTTCAGTCCCACGTTTTGCAACAATTGATATTTTTAAAGTTCGGGTTCCCAGAATTATGATTGTCTGGCAGCCACAGCCATATATTTAATAACAAGCTATTTGAACTCTGTTGCTAAACAAAGAGCGGCTCTCTCCTCTAACTTTTGTGAAGTCTGAAAGGGCCGACCCTTTGATGAGCTCAATTAATTTGTTCTGAGAAGTCTCTGAAAACAAGGATGTGGAACAACTGCCCAGTTCATCCGCTAGTATTTCTCGCTGATCAAGCAATTTTAGAAACCACACGGCCAATCCATTGCTCTATGTTTAGCTGAGGCACTGAGGTGCCTGAAAAGTCCCTTAAAAAAAAAAGTAATGCACATTTTCGGCAAACCCTGAAGACAAACTTGACCCTATACTGAAAACATACTATATTAGCAAGGTGGATTTATTAAATGAAGATGCATTGATCAGGGCTTTTCAAGAACCTGATTTTTAAACCATCTGGTGTCATGGATTGGTTGGACATGGAAAAATGGTGGAAGGAACCAGCTGGGGAACTACCAAGAGAAGAAGGCTCAGAGCCCAGGGAGTGGTGGTGGGACAGCTATACGTGATCAGAGGGAGAAGAGTAGGAGAAGGAGGTGTTGGAAGCTGAAGGGGCAACAGGGCTTAGTGAGCTGGGAGAGTCTGTGGCAGAGAGGAGCCCAGAATCAGAGGCAGAAGCTGAAGCTGAAGCAGGAGAAGGCCAAGAGGCAGAGATGAGCCAGGCTACTGAAGAGTCATGGGTGTCTCCTTGTCCCTTAAGAGCCAGTGTGGTGTAGTGGTTAAGAGCGGTAGTCTCATAATCTGGGGAACCGGGTTCGCGTCTCCGCTCCTCCACATGCAGCTGCTGGGTGACCTTGGGCCAGTCACACTTCTTTGAAGTCTCTCAGCCCCACTCACCTCACAGAGTGTTTGTTGTGGGGGAGGAAGGGAAAGCAGATTGTTAGCCGCTTTGAGACTCCTGAAGGGGAGTGAAAGGCGGGATATCAAATCCAAACTCCTCTTCTTCTTCTTCTTCTTCTTCTGCTGTGACAAGCTCCCCTCCCCCTCGTCTCCCAGAACCAGAAAAGGCATGGAAAGGGCGAGGAGATGTTGGCTGCACACAGACACAGTCTCCAATTGCTTGGGGGAAACCCTGGGGTGGAGGGAACCTAGGCAGCTGTGGGGAGGAGAGGACCTTCACTCTTGGCAACTGCTTCATGGGGGCAACACCTACCGGATATGAGCGGCTGTGCTCACTAGGCCTGACACTCAACCAAGTCTGTGGAAGTCGTATTTTTGCTAATAAAGTGTTAGCTCCAACTTGAACTGTGTGATTATAGACCAGCATGGTCCTGTAACATCTGGAGATGGCTATACTATAAAACCCCCTCATGGATCACTGCCTTGCCGTGGCAAAAGGGCTTGAATAACACAGAGAAGCTATGAACTATGCCGAGCAGGGCACCCAAGATGGACAGATCATAGTGGAGAGTTTTGACCAAACGTGATCCACCTGGAGGAGGAACCGGCAAGCCACTCCAGTATCCCTGCCAAGAAAACTCCATGGGTGAAAGAGGAGAGCGCAAAATATGGTCTGAAGCTCAACATCAAAAAAACCAAGATCATGACCACTGGTCCCATCACCTCCTGGCAAATAGAAGGGAAAGAAATGGAGGCAGTGAGAGATTTTACTTTCCTGGGCTCCATGATCACTGCAGATGGTGACAGCAGCCACGAAATTAAAAGACACCTGCTCCTTGGGAGAAAAGCAATGACAAACCTAGACAGCATCTTAAGAAGTAGAGACATCACCTTGCCAACAAAGGTCCGTATAGTAAAAGCTATGGTTTTCCCAGTAGTGATGTATGGAAGTGAGAGCTGGACCATAAAGAAGGCTGATCACCGAAGAATTGGTGCTTTTGAATTATGGTGCTGGAGGAGACTCTTGAGAGTCCCATGGACTGCAAGAAGATCAAACCTATCCATTCTGAAGGAAATCAGCCCTGAGTGCTCACTGGAAGGACAGATCCTGAAGCTGAGGCTCCAATACTTTGGCCACCTCATGAGAAGAGAAGACTCCCTGGAAAAGACCCTGATGTTGGAAAAGATGGAGGGCAGAAGGAGAAGGGGACAGCAGAGGACAAGATGGTTGGAGAGTGTTCTCGAAGCTACCAGCATGAGTTTGACCAAACTGCGGGAGGCAGTGGAAGACAGGAGTGCCTGCTGTGCTCTGGTCCAGGGGTCGGACACGACTAAACAACTAAACAACAACAGCAAAATACTATAAAAGTTAAAGCAAAGGTTGGGGAACCATGTTCAGACCAAGGTCTACATTCCCTTTGGGGCTACGAAGCAAAAGCGGGAAGCGTAATAAAAGCGATTTCCCTCCCTTTGTATAGCAGCTGCAGATGCAAACACAGCCCTCTCTAACCTCTATCCAAGCAAGCAGCAAACACTATCAGAGTTCAGAGACACATTCCAGCCGGGCAAAAACCATGAAGGACAAGGCAGAGCATGGCCGGTTGCAGGGTGTGCTTGACCTAGGAAAGGGTCCTAAGGACCAATGAGAGGCCTGAGGACACATTTGACCACTAGGCCTGAGTTGCGTCATCCACAGATTAAAGACATAGCACCAATAAATGAAATAACACTCATTGAAACTTCACTGAAAATCACTCCCCACCCCCTCACACAAAAGTTTTGTTATTTGTCTTCAGCAACTCACCAACTAATCAGGCCGAATATCAAACTATTCTATTAAACTAATTGCATCGGTGATTAACTGATTGAAGCTAGCTATCCTTATTCATTAATGCGTGCAATTAATTCTTTACTCACGGGTTCAAAATACGAAGTTCCATTGAAACAGTTACCCTCTCCCCACCCAATGAAATACTCTTTGTTACTGACGATGATGTTGACAAGCCCTCTATGAGACCAGCAGGTATAGGTATAATAAATAAAACAATTTTAATTATTTTGCTTTTTCACAGCAGCACGACATTGCTGCATATCTAAGGGAGGGAGGGAAGGAGACCCTCTCAGACGCAAAAACCCTTTGAAAATTGTCCAGTCAGAGAACACCTCCTTTGAATAAATGATTTTCACTTTGTTGACGTAGCTATTCTCAATTTGTATTTCTACTCGAGTTCACTTTCTACCTTTGCCCTAGAAGCGACATGGTGCTTGTTGTCTCAAAATCCCTATACTAATTATATGTTACCTCAGCCTGGTATGATTCCAGGTCATCGTTCCGTTTTTAACAACAGCAACAACAAAAATTGTGGGAACTCAGGTAAGCCACACAGCCTTGGACACAGACGGCCTTGAAAGCAGACGCAGCCCTCCAATAGGTGTCTAATTAATGTCAAACTGGTGACAATTCCATGCTGCTTGCGCCACTTGACCAGTGCCAACTTTTATTTCTCCACCCAGCATGTCAAGCTGCTTATCTGCTCCCCTTCAAATGCACATTCCCACCCCACTCAGTCGAAAAAGAAGAAGCTTATTTTCAAACCGTTCTGCTGCTCCCCAGCTTTATTCAAGAAAAGAGATCTGTATATTTCCCCTGCCTTGTGGAAGCCTGAGCAAAGTGACGGTGCCTCTCTTGTGGCTAGCAAGGGCAAGTTGTGATCTGCAACAGGAACTTGTTCCTCCTCCAGAAATAACAGTCACTTGAATACCACAAATAAATGTTGATTTCTGAAATGCAAATCGGCCACTAGGTTTAGGGTTGACATGTTTCAAAAGGTAAAAAAACCAGGACACTCTGAACGTTGTGGAGCTTTGGAAACCACCAAAAGTGTTGAGCTAAGAATGTATGACAGCCCTACTAGGTTAGACAGATGGGTACCGTTCTTTCCAACGAAGTTCTACTCAGAGTATCCCCACTGAGAGGAATGGACCCTACCTCCTTTGTTCCTGTAAGCACCCTCCCCTCTAGCTCCAAAAGCTGGAGGAATTACTGTATTTTTCGCTCTATTGGAAACACCCGACCATAGGATGCACCTTGTTTTAGAGGGGGAGAACAAGAAAAAAAAATCTCCCCCTCTCTGCTCAGCGCCCCTTCAGCGAAGCGGCAGGAGAAACAGAGCCCCTTCCATTTCTCCTCCCGCTTGGCTGAAGGAGCGCTGCGCAGCTGTCCCTCTCTGCTGAAGCCAGGAGAGTCTTGCTCTCCCGGCTTCAGCAAAAGGAACCCGAAGCCTCCGGCTATCCCTGAAGCCTTTTGGAGGGCAGCGTGAGTTCCCGCTGCACTCCGGAGGCTTTGAGTTCCTTTTGCTTAAGCCGGGAGAGCAAGACTCTCCTGGCTTCAACGAAAGGAACCTGAAGCCTGTGGAGCGCAGTGGGAACTCGCGCTGCACTCTGAAGGCTTCAGGCGGCTATCCCTAAAGCCTGGAGAGCAAGAGGGGTCGGTGCGCACTGACCCCTTTCGCTCTCCAGGCTTCAGCGAAAGCAACGCGAAGCCTCCGAAGCGCAGAGGGAGCGCTCCCTCTGTGCTTCGGAGGCTTCGCGTTGCTATCACTGAAGCCAAGGAGCCTGCATTCGCTCCATAGGACGCACACACATTTCCCCTTAATTTTTGGAGGGGAAAAAGTGCATCCTATAGAGCGAAAAATACGATACATTCAGAGACGGTGTCTTATCTCAGAATTCTGGCAGCCTGCAGTTTCCCAGAAAGAGCTGTGCGGTTCCACTTCGCACACAGTGAACCATTCCTTACCTTTCCCACAATGACCAAGACATTAGGTTTAGAGTCCCTGACCCTTTAAATCTTTAACAATAATTAATAGGGGAATGACGGCTAATATTTGTATTAGGTCTTAAGAAGTGCTGTAAAAAAGGACACCTTATGTAAGCAAGGGAGGGAGCATTAGAATTCCCATGTGTGATTTGGGTTAGTGAACACGTTAATGCTTTACTCAGACTTTGTTCTCTCCATGACCGCAGGTCCATTTCTACGGCTCGCAAGGCCTCTTTTTTCATTTGCCTGCGCTCAATGCACACCTCTGTTCCGGGAGAAGGGAGGCGCCATGTTCTTGCAGCACCATGGCAAGGGGAAATGTCGGCCCTCTCAGTCCTAGCAGAATCATACTGGATTCTCCCTTCCCCAGTGTTAGAAAACACAGAGCTTGGGAGTTGGCAATGGCCCAGTTGGGGAAAAAGCAGCATCTCTGTGAATTCAGAGTGGTTGACTTTTGTTGTCGTTTAGTCGTTTAGTCGTGTCCGACTCTTCGTGACCCCATGGACCAGAGCACGCCAGACACTCCTGTCTTCCACTGCCTCCCACAGTTTGGTCAAAGCTTCAAGAACACTGTCCAACCATCTTGTCCTCTGTCGTCCCCTTCTCCTTGTGCCCTCCATCTTTCCCAACATCAGGGTCTTTTCCAGGGAATCTTCTCTTCTCATGAGTTGGCCAAAGTATTGGAGCCTCAGCTTCAGGTCCTTCCAGTGAGCACTCAGGGCTGCTTTCCTTAAGAATGGATAGGTTTGATCTTCTTGCAGTCTATGGGATTCTCAAGAGTCTCCTCCAGCACCAGAATTCAAAAGCATCAATTCTTTGGCAATCAGACTTAGCAAGATCAAAACTGACAGCAGAGATCCCAAGGATGTCAAACTCTCCTGCTGTTATTCATGTTCACTATTGTACAGTGAATTCAGAGGCACCTGGAAAGATCCTGGCACTATGCTTATACAATTCCAGTCTCTGTTCTGTGCTGGAGCACCTGTCTGTTTCCTCCTTCTCTTCACCATCCTTCACCAGCAATCCAGTACTTCCCACCTTGTCCTCTCCTCTGGGGTGTGGCCAGTTTCCCTGGGGTTTCCCTGGGGTCTGTCGACTTCCACCACTCTTCATCCAGCCAGTCCCTGACATCCAGGCATTACAGAGCAAGTACCAACATTTCCAAACTGCTAGTCCACATTGAGTCTACCTTCCTATTTTTGGAAGCAACTAGGGAGAGACGGAGAGACGGAGACGCGGCAGCTCGTGAGCGAACGCACTCTCAAGTGGCGGAGGACTCCAAGCCGCTGCTTCCCTCCCGAGCTGGGCGAGCATGAAACCCGGGAAATTTAAGGGGCATCATCAATAAAGGACAGCAGCAGGACACGGCACTGGGATAAGGGAGTTTCCCACCAAATAAGGGACGGTTGACAGCTATGGGAGTTTGCTACATGCTTGTTTGTTTGAACAGGCTTCAGATGCTTCCTTGCAATGGGGAATCCTGACTCCAGGGAAGCTTCTAAGCGCATTCAACAAAGCACCCTTAGAAACCCCCTTCAGATCTTCTTGCACGATGCAAGAAGGTCAAGGAGGGATCAAGGAGGGATGGGACGTTGCCTTTCCCAGCATTCTTAGGGCTCCCAGTTTCCAAGAGGCTACTAGGCAAATCCAGCCGCACCTGCTTCATAGCTTCCTTCAGACCCAGGAGTGGTGGGGCGGGGCCGGGGGTGGTTCTCCTGCTGCCATTCCCTGTCCAGGCACAATACCTGAAGAGAGTTGATGAACACAGCAGATGCTCTGTTCATTTACTCTGCAATAGCCTATCCTTCACTGATCAAAATGCCAAAAGGCTGGTTGTTCGTCTGGTAAAAATACACTAGGAAAAAAACCCATAATTGTCCCTCAATCTGTTGTCGACAATTCAAAATATACCTCAGCAGCTGCAGCGTGTGAAGTGACAGACTGCGCACGGCAGGGTGCCTTAGTGCTCATGCGCACGCATGTCTGTCTATGCGTGTGCTGTGGAGAGACGCGTTGCCGTCTCTCTGACACAAAGAGCGGAACTTCTAGAGAACAGCAACACCAGATAAAACAGAGTAACAACATTTCAACGAGGCATCCCCAAAAAGGCAATGCGTCCATCAATCAACAGGGACAGCAGTTTATCATGGACACTTACCAGAAAACTGTTAGAACATTGACGACGCGGCTTAGGTCAACCTTCTCCATTTCCTCCCAGGAGAGCCATGAGTTTTCTGTTGGAGCTCTGTTGCTGCCCAAGGCAGCCTGAATATTCTTCACCAGTAAGAGAGGGGCAGCTTGAGTAGGAATGACAGTGGAAGATGGCATTTAGGTGCAGCAAGCGCTGAGGTCTCAGCAGATCTGGCAAGTCATGCCATGTCATGATGCATCCTGGTCTATGGTATCTTGTCCTTGAACTGCTTGCGCACTGAGATGTTTATATCCCAAACATGCTGAAGTATAGACACCAGTACACAGGCAAGCAAGATAACATGGATCTCTTGTCATGGACCGTACTGAATTATAAGTAGTAATAGAAAGACCTTGGAAATGGGACATTTGAATGTTGCCATTGGCTATATGTCAACAGATTTTGAAACTTGATTCATGCGCCAAGACAGGTCCGAGCTCCAAATTTTGAGATAAATTACCAAAGATTCCAAGCTGATTTGTCTGTTTAGCAGATTTATATCCCACCATTCTGAAAAGAAAAGAAGGAACCAGTACTTTTTTTCAGGGGGGTGGAATACAGGGGTACACATACCCCTAAACATCTTGTGAATCTTTGTACTTTTGTCCATTTACTGTATTTATTTTCCCAATTTGAACTATAAAATGGTGACTTTCTTGAGTCAAAATGATAGTACCCATATATATATATATATATATACATACACACACACACACACACACACACACACACACACACACAGGTTCTTGCCCTGTGTTAATTTGCTTTCAGCAGAACCATATTGCAACTGGTAGCCTGTACATCAAAGACATTTTTATTTGTTGTGGGGAAACAGGGGAACTAATGGGCAAGCATGTTCCCCTGATATAAAATAAAGGCGAGGCACGGAGCTATAAAATAGTATGAACTCATAAATTATTGCATACACGTCCATGTTAGGAAGAAATACAACATATATTTTCCCCCCCCCTTCAGAGGATAACACACCTGTGTTTTGGATAATTCACAAAGTAGCCCTGGCCTTCCAGATGTTTACTCCCCACTGCACACAGAGTACAGTAGGAGTGAGGAGGGGTGGGGGAAGGAGAGGGCGAGTGTCCAGTGGAAAGTGGGATGGGGGCCAAAACAGACTTGGGGTTTTGCAAAGGGGTGACATGATAGCTCACCAGAGAGCAGCCCAGGCAATTTGGAGGAAGTAATATTGACTGCATCGTTACAGGCATAGGTCTTAAATATGTAGCTTGCTAGTAGGAAAAGCACAGATCTGTGGCTTGTGCACGCTGTTTTTGCAAGCATGGGAGGTGATAGAAACTTACAGGGCTCACGACAGCAGCCAGAACCACAACGGCAAGAGATTCTCTTCTGTTGACCAAGCACGAACAGAAGGTTCAGAGCCCTAGGATTTATACTTGACCTGGGAGGGCTGGATTAAGACCTTTAGAGACCCTAAGCACTTAAAAGATGTTGGTGCCCCCACAGAGATCTAATTCAAAATATAACCAATAATAAACCATGAAATAAAAGTTTATTTTTCAAAATGAAACAAAACATACAGTAAGATGGAAAACAATGTTTCTTTTTGCATGCTTCCACTTCATTGATACTGTATGTGGAAATTTTTTCTCCTGCTTTTTCTAATTGGAAGGCCTTTTGATCAGATTGTCAAAACTAATCGCCCATAACACATCTGCTTCTAGACCTAGTAGAAGGTAAGGCATCCATCTTGCCTTGTTGCATAGTTGTTCTGTTGGAATTTTTAATATACGGTGGTACCTTGGTTCCTGAACGGCTTGGCTCCCAAACCAGCTACCGAACGTCGCAAACCTGGAAGTAAGTGTTCCGGTTTGCGAACTTTTTTTGGAAGCTGAACATCCAAAGCAGCTTCCGCTGCTTCCAGTTGAGTGCAGGAAGCTCCTGCAGCCAATCGGAAGCTGCACCTTGGTTTTCGGACAGTTTTGGAAGTCGAATGGACTCCCAGAATGGATTCAGTTCGAGAACCAAGGTTCCACTGTACTTCAACTGAGAAAACGAATGCTCAGTTGAGCTACCTGTGACCATTAGTGTTAAAAATCTGGCAATGGGAAATTTCTGTGATGCCCACCTTCCTTTGACACTCTAAGCATGTGCTTATTTTGCTCAATGGTTAATCCAGCCCTGTGGCCTGGCTGGTCCAGTGGCCTCCTCTTGCCTGCTAAACACACCAGAGCTTTGTTCCTTATGGTGTTTTAAGAGGGTTTTAATGCCTTAGCATGCTAGGAACTACTTAGGCTTGGTCTTATCCCCTTGCCCAAGTTCTTCAGGCCCATTCAGAAGCCTTGACACCATGATGGATATGACAGCAGGCAACACAACCCATCCCCAAGCTGAGTGCCACCCACCCTAATTCTTACCTCTCCAAGTTCTGCTGAAAGAGGTTGCCATTAGCACTGCTTGCATTTAACTGACACATTCCACCTCCCAGAGGAGAAATCCTTCAGTGGCTACCAGTCCCAATGGCCATGTTCCTCCTGAACACCAATACAATGGAACCTCTACCCTGTGACCATAATCCATTCCAGAGGTCTGTCCGGAGATCGAAACGGATCGCTGGGAGACGTGCCATTGTGCACAGATGCAGGCGGTGATTGCCCGCTTTTGCGCATGTGCGAACAGCAATCGCTGCTCCTGCACATGTGGCAACAGCAATCGCCGCTCCTGCACAAGCGCGAACGATGGCAAACCTGCTGGTTACTTCTAGGTTTGCACACGGATATTTTTATATATATATACCCCACCCTCCCCAGCCAAGGCAGGGCTCAGGGTGGCTAACAAGCAATAATAAAAACAAGTTGAATGAATACAACTTAAAAACAAGATTAAAATATAACATTAAAATATTGAAACATTAAAATATTAAAATGCAGCCTCATTACAGGAAGAGAAAGGGGGGAAAAAAGAGGGGGAGGGAATCAAATTGGCTCCAAGCCAAAGGCCAGGTGGAACAACTCTGTCTTACAGGCCCTGCGGAAAGAAATCAGAACCTGCAGGGCCCTGGTCTCATGAGGCAGAGCGTTCCACCAGGCCGGAGCCAGTGTTGAAAAGGCCCTGGCTCTGGTTGAAGCTAATCTAACTTCCTTAGGGCCTGGGACCACTAGGGTGTTGCTATTTATGGACCTTGAGGCTCTCCGTGGGGCATACCGGGAGAGGCGGTCCTGTAGGTACGAGGGTCCTAGGCCATGAAGGGCTTTAAAGGTCAAAACCAGCACCTTAAATCTGACCCCTTAAATGATGACCTACTCATAAGATTACAAAGATTTCTTATTCGTGTGTTGTCTTTATGTTTTTGTATCCCCCACCACTGCAACAAGAAGAAACAAAACCAACTGGTCAGAGACTAAACATTCTTCCCTGGGGATTTTTAAATTGAAATCTTGGACCTGCATTTCCAGAATCTGAAGCAGTTCCAGGAATCATTACAGGCTATAGGAAACTGCTTCCTTCTTCCACCAGTTATGTTCAGAAAATGAACCAAACCCCAGGACTACCCATTATTTTGGATGCACAGACACTCTGCTGGATGAGAATCTAGATGTGCAATAGGATGGCTCCATCCCTTGCCTGGATAGACCAATACCTATTCAGTGGCTGAGTGGTTTACAGTCCCGAATCAGAAATCATGCACACGGTGATGAAAGGACAACTGAGTCAACATGTGAATCCTGATGCTCTCAGTAGTGGCACCCTCCCTGTGGAACACCCTCCTTTCAGATGCCAAGGAGATAAAGAACTACATAACTTTTAGAAGACATCTGAAGGCAGCCCTGTATCAGGAAGTTTTTAATGTTTGATATTCTCTTATGTTTAGATACATGGTGTAAGCCATCCAGAGTTGCAGGGGAAACCCAGCCGGATGGGCGGGGTATAAATAAGAATATCATCATCATCATCTCCTTGTATATCCCCTGATCGTTCCGCTCTGAAAAAGGAGCTTTGCAAGGATGCAAAATGATACGGTATCTTTATTGTCATTGTCCCATACAGAACAATGAAATTGAAAAATCTACATAAGACATTCAAAAACTCCTAAAAACTCTGAAACCCCATTTTAGAATACAATATACTATAGAGACTCCATATGCTGCGTTTAGAACCAGAATTGCATTTGCGTAGAAACTGTTTCTCAGGCGGCTAGTCCTGGTCTTTATAACCCTATACCTTCTTCCAGAACGCAGAAGCTGAAAGAGATCATTTCTGGGGTGCGTACTATCCTGCACTATCTCTGCAGCTTTCTTATGGCACCTGGAAGCATAGGTTTGATCTAAGGTGGGAAGAGTGCACCCAGTTATTCTCTCTGCAGTCTTTACAACCCTTGACAGCATTGATTTTTCCCTGGCCGTGCAGCTCCCAAACCACACACACAGACCATAAGTTAATACACTCTTCACAGTACAATGGGAAAATGCCAAAGGGTGATGCTGCGCTGAAAATGGCAGAGGGGGAAAGGGTTAAGCCTCTCCCTGCCCTCTTTTTATCAACTGTGACTCACAGCCTGCCCTCACTGACCTGAGCTTTAAAAAAAAAAAAATGCAAGAGGAAAAGCCCTGGGAGTGCAAGTAATTTGTAGTGTTTGAGCCTAAGAGTTTCAGACTTTCCCTTCCTTCCTTTCTCAGTCTCCCTGCAAACAGATGGCCAAAAGCGTCCTGCTAAATATTTAATATGCCAGAAAAACAAATACTATTATTTATCAAATGCTTGCCGTTGCAATGAATATGAGGAATTCAAGTGCACGGTTAGGTTCTCCAACGTGTTAACACTGAGTTAAGGCACAGGAGCGGGTGGCAACTTTCAGACCCTACCCGTGAGATGTCCGTGGACATCTTAGCCTCAAAGCTATGGCTTCCTGCTGCCCATGCATTATTGTTGGTGAAAGGGACCTGTGCTGGTCCCATGGGTTACCCGAAAGACAAGGTCCAAGTCTGGTCCATGGTCATAGGTGCAACGTGGAGGCAGTCCATAGTAGCTGGAGCTGGGTGCAGGTCAGGAAGTCGGGTGAAGTCAGGAACATGCTTGCAAGCAGGGAGCCAGGGTAGGTCAGGAGCTCAGGCAGGAAAGCAGGACAGGGTTCAGGCAGGAACTAACAACCAACAATGCTGCTCCCGCAACTTGGGACTGGGGATGGCTGGCTTTTATCTGCCCCGAAGCATAGGGCGGCCTCAGTCCACAAGTGACTCGCCTCTCCTGGCCTGGAAGCGAGCACTTGTCCTGCAGGAACTTAGTTCCCTCCGCCTC